GTTAGAATAATGTCTTGATAATACTCTAAACTTGTTTTCTTCCACATTTACCCAAAAAAACAACATGGTGATTTACAAGTAGTCAGTTCTTATAAAAAAATTTTTTTCCCCTTTATTTTTAGGGATAGAGGAAGTGAGAGGGAGAGAGAGACAGAAACATCGTTGAGAGAACATCGATTGGCCGCCTCCTGCCCCACACTGGGGATTTGGCCCACAACCTGGACCCGTGTCCTGACCAGGAATCGAACCGGTGACCTCTTGGTACATGGGTCAATGCTCAACCACTGAGCCACACTGGCCAGACCAGTTCTTTTCTTAAAGCAATATGGTGTTGTGGAGAGAAAACACTAATTTTTATGTCAGGAATCAAGATTAGAATCATTGTCCTACTAACTCAATAGTTATGTGACCCTGGACAAATTACGTCCTCAGTATTTTTGTCTCCCAAATGGAGATGACATCTTTCCTACATATCTTCAAAACTTTCAGTCTCCTAGATCACTCAGTTATTCAACCTTGCTAGGTACTATTAAGGATTATTAAAGTTCATGTAGTTCAAATTCAATCAGATATTATGAGAGTGTGATAGTTTATGCAATAAATTTCCTGCTCAAGATTCTGGGACCATGTGAAACTGGAAGTAGGTCTGATGGTTATGCTCTCTCCTCTCTTCATCTTTCTAACAGCAGTTAAAGATAAAAACGTTTAAGAATTTTATCATCAGAGTCAATCCAAAGAGGCTGGATAACTAATGGAAGGTTTGCTATTTTTGGAAACATAGAATGACATAGTCATTTAACAATAACTGTCAGACAAGTAGCTTCCCTCATTTTACAGAAAAGGATTTGGTTAAGTTATGCAATTTGTGCATGATCACACAACATGCCAGAGATGGAATTCAAAAGTTCAAACCTAGATTTGCTTGAGAAAGCCACTTTTACTGTACCAAGGTTGTCAAACTTTAGCATACCTGGGGTGCTCATTCCTAATCCATATTTCCAGATGGCCTTTGGGAATAGGCATGTATATGTATGTGTGTGTGTGTGTGTGTGTACACACACACACATATATATATAATTTATATATATATATATATATATTTATCCTCACCTGAGGACATTTTTTGCGTTTATCTTCAGATAGAGTGGAAGGGAGAGAGGGGGAAAGAGAGAGAGAGAAACATCGATGTGAGAGAGACACATTGACTGGTTGCCACCCACACAACACTAACCAGGGCCGGGGAAAAACAAGGTACATGCTCTTAGTTGGAACTGAACTCGGGACTCTCCTGTCCACGGGCCAACATTCTAACCGCTGAACCAAACTGGCCAGGGCAGGTACAGGCATATTTTTAATCACTGTGTAAATGTGATGTGGCCCAGGATGGCTATTTAAGAACAAGAACCTGAAAACTACCTACTTAAGCAAATCAGAAATCATATATCTTTATAATAAATTAGTACTCATTTATTTTTTAAAAATTGATTTTAGAGAGAAAGGGAGAAAGAGAGAAATATTGATGTGAGAGAAAAACATCAATCAGCGGCCATCCTGGAGACTGAACCCACAATCTGCATATGTGCCCAGACCAGGAATCGAACTTGAGACCCTTCAGTGCACGGGACAATGCTCCAACCAACAGCCACACCAGGTGGGGCTCATTTGTTATTTTTATCTGGCTATAAACCAAAACATTCTCAGCTACTGTAGTCCTAGAATTCTTACCTGACAGGCCACGCGATAAGGTATTTCAGGAGCATTTTATAAATGCAGAGGATTCCTGTTAAATTTGAATCTGGTAAAAAAAATAGCCTACTTTCCCTGAATTAACTGTTAAGATATAATTCTTCATAGACTGGGACACTTTTGAGAATGAAAGGTGCACTATTAATAATTATGTCAATACAACAGGCATTACGTGGAAGCATCCTAAGCACAGTGACACATATGAAAGTCAGTCATACTCTTCTCACCATCTCCTACCACTATCACACAGCTTTATATACTCAATGCCATGTACCTAGTCCAAAACAATCAGTAAGTTTACCATCTGTTTCATTTTCTTATATTGAAGAATATTATTTAAAAGGGGGAAAAAATCCTATATATTAAAAAAAAATTTTTTTTCTTTATTAATATTAGAGAGAGAGGGGAAAGAAGAAGAAGAGAGAAAAACATTGATGAGAGAGAACACTGACTGGCTGCCTCCTGCATGCCCCCCTCTGGGAATTGGGCCCACAACCTGGGCATGTGCCCTGACTGGGAATCAAACTGGTGACCTCTTGGGGCATGGGTCGGCGCTCAGCTACTGAGCCACAAAGGCCAGGCAAAACCTATACATATATATATATTTTTTTATCCTCACCCGAGGACATTTTTCCATTTTTTGTTCAGATAGAGTGGGAGGGAGAGAGAGGAAGAGAGAGAAACATCGACGTGAAAGGGACACGTCGAGTGGCTGCCACCCACACGACCAACCAGGGCCGGGGACAATCTGCAACTGAGGTACATGACCTTAGTGGGAACCGAACCCAGGTCTCTCTGGACCACAGGCTGACACTCTAACCGCTGAGCCAAACCAGCCAAGGCCAAAACCTGTCTTTTTGTGTGCACAAAATCGATCCAGAATGGGGATGCAGCTTGCAGTACTGGGAGAGAATACTGGCGAAAGGACTAAAGGTCTGCGTTCACATCCAGAATGTATTTTGTAGCTATGGCCTAGGACAAGTTATTTCCCTTTTACTTGAGCCCCCATTTCACCAGTTGTAAAATAAGGAGGATAACACCCACTTCAGAGTTATGTAACAAACACATTTGAAGGTGTCCCATGAAAGCTGGAAAAACGTTATATTCATGGACAATATATGATGAAAAACATTAGAAGACATATTCTCTGACAGAAGCTGTAGTGATACTACTAGGGGATTACAGGTGTTTTTGATGTAAATATTGCCACTTCCCCCACTGGACTTCTGGGCAGGATAGTATTCTGGATCCTGCATACTCACAGGAATGACAGTGATGAGTTTATGGCATAATGAGCCCTACAGTTGTCTTTATTATTAAAATGCAACTCAAAAAGAAAAAGATAATCCCATTACCTTCAGCATCTCCATATTGGATATGACTTCTGGGAGTACACACTACTACATTCTTACTATATATAAGCTATAGTATTAAGTCCTCTGGCCCCATCTTTGGAGCCAAGAAGAGCAGGCTCAGCACCCGCTATATAATCTCCCAGCATGAGTTTGTTGAAAAAGCATGTGATGGAGTGGCAGGGCCCTCAGGTATTAGGACTGCCTCAGCTCCTGTTTAGCCACATGACCTTGGGCAAGATGTACCTGTAAAATGAGGGGACAGACTCGATGATCATTAAGGACAAGCTCTGACATTCAGTATCCAGGACATCCTTGGCATTTTACAAGTCTAGATGACTTATAAACTGTTCCTATATTTTCTCCTAACAGAAGAAAAAGTTTAAGCACAATTAAACAGAAATAGACTTTAAAATAGAGCTTTAAAGTAGTTTCAGGATACATTTAAACAGATACACACAGATAAAATAGGTGTTCAAGTAAGAAACATTTATTCTTTCCTACATGAAAATGAAATTGCGGTTGTAAACATAAACTAAGAAATATTTGTTTTACAAGGTAATTTGCTATATTATCATGAACTTGAGGTGTTAGACAAGAAAATTATTAAAGGTCGTATAAGTTCTGAATTTTGCAATTCTGATACATTCTTGGCATTTTAACGTGTCTAAATGACTGCCTTCATTTGGGGTATTTCCTTTACATTTTACAGTCTGTTCTTGTGAAAGAAGAAAACAGTTAGCATACCATTAGAGAAACAACAGGTAAACAGAGATCTGAAGTAAGTTCAAGATAGGTTTACACTGAAATACACAGAAAGAATACTTGTTGACTCAGGGAACACAGTCACAGTCTCAATTTCATTAATTATGGAAAAAATATATGAACCAAGTAACATTTGTCTTACAAGGTAACTGAATTCTTCTAATTTTGTAAACTGGAGACATGTACAACACTTACAGCATTTACACAATACTATTTTCAAAATAAATTTTTGACTTCTAGGAATGAAAGTTCTCAGTGACAAGCTTTAGATATGCAACTTAGCCCAGTGGGTATCGAGTTTCTCACAAGAAGCAACTACACACAGTTCCCCACACACCCTAGCATCAGAAGGCAAAATTAGACACTTAAGGCAGAAAAACAACATCCCTACACAGTATAAGTGATTAAGGCCCAAACACTTTACAACAAATGGACATAAGATCTCAATTAATCAACTGAACAAGTGACTTAATTCACAAATCTAACTCCTTTTCTTACTACTTCCTTATTTCTGATTCTGGGAATACTTGTGCTGCACTTACAAGACACTGGGAGCACAAAGAAGGATCACTATGGTCCCAGTGGTGTGCTGGTAAAAATTTAACAACTAGCTCTTGAGAGGAAGAAGCACTTAATTACAGCATTTGCCATCTTCCATGGGGTAAAAATACTCCTACTATGACAAATTTCAAGCCACCAACAATTTGATAACTGGCTCACAAAATTCCTGAAACTTGAACAATCATTTCTCATAAGCCATTATAAGCCAGCGCCAACACACCACTGTACGATCCACACCCTCACGTAGCTCGTAATCTCTTCATGACTACAATGTTTAGATAATAGAAAAGAATGGGGAAGACAGAGATAACATTTAAATTATTATATTTTTGTAAGCAGTTTTAAAAGTAAAAGAAACAGTAAAATCTGTGGAATTTACTAACTTCTCTTTACTATTCCAGTTTTTTTCTTGCTTAAATGTTAGGAAACTAAAATGTAGTATAATGGGGAAAATAAAGTATGCATGGGAAAGAAAATATGACAAGAAAAGACATCCTAAGATATATATTAACAGTTGTCATGTTTATGCTGAAAGAAAATATCTACTAAGGTAAGAGGAAGTATTATATAACCTTTACAATTCTATCCTCTTTAAGCCCTTTCTGTTCAGTGCATATCCTGAAGATTTGTCCTGTCCTCTTTGGCTGCAGCTTTGATGAGACTGGCTAGCTTCTTTTGCACAACACTGAGGAGTGTACTGCTTCACACCACTCACACTAAAGCTCATAACAAAAGACAAAACTAAATTGTAGAGTCTGAAAATTTCCTTTGCAAGTTACCCCTTGTATCAGATCTTCGGCAAGTGCCAGCTGGAGTGACCGGGAAATTCTTCTGGTAGCAAAACATGGAGCCTGCAGGTTGGGCATGTCCCCTGCTGCATTAACCAAGGTCTAATGCACTAGGGAGAAAAAAGATTCATGTCAGTCTCAGATTTAGCCTGGCAGAGGTATCTATTATGTACATCAGGATTGTCCACCAACACGTCTGTCAGAAGGTCTTAAAGTCTATCTGGAGGACTGCCAAGCCCACTGCTGCAATCATGGCACCTTCTCTATGTTTTGCTGAGTGATACAGCTGGTGACAGAACGCCTTTCAGCCAGTTTATTCTACTAGGCTCCTTCCCCTAATTCCCATATTCAGGATGATTAGCAGTTCTTCCTAACAAAAAGGTTGTGGAAAGCTGTTATATCTTTTTTCTATTTGCTTACATGTCTTCCTCATTTATAATCCAGAAAATGTCATGACTAAACATACAAAAGTCACCAATACCTGGTATCAAATGCTTACAGTGTTTTGAAGTTAATGATGATGGATATACTTTTCAGATTGTTTTTTCTTTGGTGACAATGGTAGAATTCTTTGGCTATGAACTATCTGTTAAATCAGTTGCTTGAAAATTAATTGTGCAAAAAAATGTTTTACCTGTATGAATAATGGAGAGCCAGGTCAAATGAGAGAGGATTAAGAATAGACACTATATGAAGCCCATTAAATCTAACCCTAAAAAGTAATCTGGATGAATTGCCTGCTTTCTATTCATTGGGTAATGGCAAAGAATAAAATAAATTTTGTGAAACATTTAATTTCTAAACGAATAGGACTTAAAACTTTAAATGGGAAAATCAGGTGGCTAAGTATGTGTCCTGGAAATCTTTTAGGATTAGCCCTTCTGTGTATATCTCTTCATATCAGAGCAGATGCAAAATATAATTCTATAGCAGGTATCACATATCTTTGAAATGATGTTTTAGAAATATGGCTTGAATGAGCTGACTATTGTTCACTTCCCCGAGGAGACTTTTTTGTGTAAGATTCTCTCTTCTGGTGTCAAATTACATCTTTGCAACAGAAGACTTGGGTCTTGAATTGTATATCAATGGCATTTGCACAGCAATAACGCCAGGAGTTGATCTATATGAATGCCAAGAATCACCAAAACATATGCCAGCCTTACATTTTTCTAACATCAAAACTCAACCCTAAACATCATCAAAAGCAAATACCAGAGCCTGGACAAACTACTAAGGTAAGTCTCATGCATTATAATGGTAGAGGCCATATCAATGTGGACAAGGGACACGATGTGTTATTTATAGCACATCATAGTGAAGTGGCACTGTTGCTAAACTGCCACTGAATTGCAATGTTAATCAACATTCTTGCCCGTTCTACTCAAGTGAACCGCCTATTCTCTACCATTTAAGTCCCATCGTTGTCCCCTTCTCTGAGAAAGCACAGTGCAATCCATAGCTAGGTATGGGGAAACAGGTGTACGTATTTCTGTGTGGAACCCTGAAGCCCAGCATTACATCCAGTGAAACTCAAGAAACAGCAGTGGATAATGACACACGCATATGATTTCAAGTAAGGCAGTATAAGTCTTGCTTAGTTGATTAATGGTAAAATATGAAAAGATTAGTTTACCTGAGAGTGGAATTTGTGAGCACAAGGCAAAACTGAGAGGTTTTCTGGAGACAGATTCTCATGACAGATCACACAAGGCTCTTCCTCCTCTTCCTCATCCTCCTAGGGAAAATACACACAAGATGTATTCAGCTCATTTCTTTCTCTCAAACTGAAATGTATTTACAATCAATAGTCTTCGACTCACCAAATTATTGGCTCCTTCCCACGTGATAGGACCTTGTAAACTGAGGGGCCTCCAGGCTGGTTTTTGGGGCTGGGAAGCACTGGACTCTGCTGGAGTATGGCTGGGTGAAACACAACTACCATTTGGCACTGATTTTCCTTGACTCTGAAAAGAATATTATACTGACTTTTTAAGACATGTTTTAAAACAGGAAAAAAACTAATAGAATAGCACAAAATACGGTATAGTGAGAATTAGCAAAAGGGTATAAAGGTCAATCAGATTCATAATAAATCATGAAACAAAATGTTGGCAATATTACTTATATACTGAGAGCCAGGTACAACAAAAATAACTATATATACTCTTTTAATTTATACAATTGTGTGGAGAAAATGTAAAAAAACAAGACCTTCTTTAGAATCATTGAAATTAATCTAGAGTAAATTTCAAAAGGTTTCGTTTATACTACTATGATCAGGAGGTATTTCAAAGACTTCCCCTGCCATTTGTCCAGTTGAAGTTGACTTTTTTTATTGTTAATAAAAGATGGAACACAATTACAGGTTATTGATTTTTCCAAATATGTTATGATTATAATTAAGACAGCTAACTACTAGAGTCGAGGGCCTGAGGGGGTTCAAGATGGAAACTGGATGAGCACAACAATACACAGCACTGAGAAGGGTAAGAGAGATATGGTCCCACTAAGGGGGAAAAAACGTCCTAGCCGCAGTGTCCATGGTCAGTAGGGATCTCAAAGGTAGAGAACTTTTCTTTGAGGAGTGAGGGATTCAAGTTCCATGTCAAGCATCCCAACCCGTAGTATATGCACAAGACAGATGAGCCCCCCAAACAGCTACATTTGAAAAACAATAGGGAATATATCCAGGAAAACTACAGAGCTGCAGGGAAAAGAAATTCCGTCTTAAAGGGCTCATGCACAGAATCATGCAATCTGGAAACCAGTGAAAAATCACCAGGTGAAAAGCACATAGACCAGTGGTGATTTTCAACCTTTTTCACCTCATGGCACACATAAACTACTCAAATTCTACAGCACACCAAAAAATATATGTTTGGCCAATCTGAGTAAAACATAGGTATACTTTATTTTTTTATCTTCACCCAAGGACTTCTTTTCCATTTTTGTTCAGATAGAGTGGGAGGGGGAGAGAGGAGGAAGAAAGAGAGAGAGAGAGAAAAAACATTGTTGTGAAAGGGACACTTCAAGTGGCTGCCTCCTGCATGACCCCAACCAGGGCTGGGGACGAATCGCAACCAAGGCACGTCGTGCCCTTGGCCGAAATCAAATCCGTGACTCATTGGTCCATGGGCCGACGCTCTAATTGCTGAGCCAAACGAGTTAGGGCAAAATAGGCATACTTTTGATTCCTTCACATTGGATGGCTGTTGGGTTGGCTGTTGTCTTTTTTTTTTTAATCCTCACCCGAGGATATTTTTCTATTTATTTTTAGACAGGGAGGGAGGGAGGGAGGGAGGGAGGGAGGGAGGGAGGGAGGGAGGGAGGGAGGGAAAGAGAAAGAGAAAGAGAGAGAAACACATGAATTGGTTACCTCCCACATGATACCAGCCAGGGCCGGGGACTGAACCGCAACCAAGGTACGTGCCCTTGACCAGAATTGAACCCGCGACTCTTTGGTCTGCAGGCCAATGGTCTCACTGCTGAGCTAAACTGCCCAGGGCTGTTATCATTTTTTATCTGACAATCTTAGGGAAAAAGAGGTCACTGGCTCTGACTAAATAGGCAGGTATTGCAAGTGTTAAAAATTCTTGTGGCACATGGGAAAATCGCTGCCCTAGACCATAGTTGAAGGGAACACATTTACTATTCTTGGAATGCCTGCCAAAGAGGCAGGAGGCAGGAGGCAGGAGGCAGGAGGCAGGAGGCAGCAGGAACTCTCCCCAGGGTCTGAATCACTGAATCAGCCATTTTTGCGATCTAGTTCTGCTGGGCTGATGCTGGTACAACTCGGAGACACCATTTTAAAATTCTCCCTCTAGCCTCCTAACACCAGTGGGAACACTATGATGAAAGTCCCACGTACTCTACACCTCAACCCTGCTAAATAGTCAGTCCTGCCCACACAGCGTGCTAGTAGCAGTTGCGGCCAACCACAACAGATGGGTGCATGCAGCCCAACAGGGGACACCCCTGGAGTACCTGGCTCTTGTGGTCAGAGGAGATTTCCCTGCTGGGCCCCACAGGACAACACCTACATAAGGCCACTTCTTCAAGACTGGGAGACCTAGATGATCTACCTAACACACTGAAACAAACACAGAGAATTTGGTAAAATGAGAAAATAGAAAAATATGTTCCTAACTAGAGAACAAAACCTAGAAAAAGAACTAAATGAAATGAAGATAAGAAATGGTCATAGAGATACTCACCAAACATGAGAGAAAAATGAATGAACACAGTGACAACTTCAACAATGAGATAGAAAATATAAGAAAGTACCATTCAGAGCTAAAGACTATAATAATCTGCAATGAGAAATATATGAGGGACTCAACAAATTAGATGGTATAGAAGAATAGATCAGCAATCAAACACTACAGGCCAGATGGGAATGGCACAAACTAATCAAGGTAATGAAAACAAGGATCTGAATCTGGAAGACAAAGTAGTGGAAGTCACCAAAGTTGAAAAAAAACAACAAAAAGAAATTTTTTTTGTAAACAAGAAAAGGAGAATAGTTTAAGGGACCTCTGGGACAATATCAAGCACACTAACATTTGTACGGTAGGGGTCCCAGATGGAGATGAGAAAAAGGGGAAGAAAACTTTGAAGAAATAATAGCTGAAAACTTCCCTAACCCAAGGAAGGAAATACATCCAGGTCAAGGAAGCACAGAGTCCCAAACTAGATGAACCCGAAGAGGTCCACACTCTAAGAAATTATAATCACAATGTCAATTATTTAAGATAAACAGAGAGTAAAAGCAGCAACAGAAAAGCAAGAAGCAACAAGCAAGAAAACGCCCCATAAGATTATCAGCTGATTTTTAAGCATACATTTTGCAAGCCAGTAGGAAAAAAACACAATATACTCTAAGTGCTGAAAGAAAAAAACAAAACAGAAAATGGCGGCTGGGTGAATGGACGCGACACAGACTGTCTCCCAGGACAAAACTGGAATTACAACTAAAACACAGACAAATCGTTGGGAAAAAGGAAATGAAAAGCAGCTTGCAAGGACCAAATAACCAGGGACACTGATTTGATCCTGGAGCTGGAGCCACAAACAGCAGAATACCAACACCCACAGGGAATATTTGGTAGGCTCCAAAGCTCAATGTGATAGCCAAAATGGTGAAACAAAAAACAAATGCCAAAGGGAAGAACAAGAGACCTCTACTGAAGATGAGATAAATGAGGAGCAGTTAAGGAAATTAGCAGAGCTAGAATTCAAAGCCATGATCTTGAGGAAGCTCAACAGCATGAGTAAGGACATGAACACCATGAGTAAAGACATAGAAACATTGAAAATCAACCAATTGGAAATTAAAAACCACCAAGAAGAAATGAAGAATGACATATCAGAAATAAAGAACACATTGGAAGGTCTAAACAGCAGAGTAGAGGAAGCTGAAGACTGGATCAGTGAATTAGAAGACAGGGTAGAAAAAAATCAATCAATCAGAAAACAAAACGGAAAAAACAATTAAAAAACAGAAAGACAGCTTAAGAGAACTGTGAGACAACTAGAAAAGTAATAATATTCGCATCATAGGAGTCCCTGAAGAAGAAGAAAATGAGCAAGGGTTAGAGAACATATTTGAAGAAATAGTGGCAGACAACTTCCGTAATTTGGTGAAGCAAGAAGGCATTCAGGTTCAAGAAGCACATAGAGCTTCGAGTAAGAAGAACCCAAATAGGCCCACACGAAGACACATAGTAATTAAAATGCCAACAATTAAAGACAAAAAGAGAATCCTAAAAGCAGCAAGAGACAAGTACTGTAACAGTTTACCTACAAAGGAACCCCCATAAGGCTCTCAGCTGACTTCTCAACAGAAACACTACAGGCCAGAAGGGAATGGCACAAAGTACTCAATGTCATGAAAAACAAGGATCTGAATCCAAGACTGCTCTACCCAGCAAGGCTGTCATTCAAAATAGAAGGTCAAATAAAGAGTTTCCCAGACAAAAAAAAAAAAAAAAAAAAAAGCTAAGGGAATACATTACCACCAAACCAGCACTGCAAGAAATGTTAAAAGAACTGCAGTAATTAGTAGAAGAAATAGGAAAAAATATATACCCACACTAAACAAAAATGGCAATAAATAACTTCATATCAATAATCACCTTAAATGTAAATGGATTGAATGCTCCCATAAAAAGACACAGAGTAGCTGACTGGATAAGACAGCATGACTCATCTCTTTGTTGTTTACAAGAGATCCACCTCACAACAAAAGACTCACACAGGTTGAAAGTAAAGGGATGGAAAAATCTTCTAAGAAAATGGAAAAAAAAAAAAAGCTGGGGTAGCAATACTCATATCTGATAAAATGGACTTCAAAATGAAGGCCATAAGTAGAGACAAAGAAGTCCACTACATAATATTGAAAAGATCTATCCAAAAGGAAGATATAACCTTGGAAAACATATATGCACCCAATATAGGAATAACAAAATATATTAAAAATCTTCTGGAGGACTTCAAAGCAGAAATTGAGAGCAATAAAATCATAGCAGGGACTTCAACAACCCGCTGACATCACTGGATAGATCCTCTAGATAAAAATTAGCAAGGAATCAGAGACGCTAAATGAAGCACTAGACCATATGGATTTAATAGATATCTACAGAGAATTACACCCCAAAACTACAGAATTCACATTCTTCTCAAGTGTACATGGGACACTCTCTAAGGTAGACCACATGATAGGACACAAACTAAATCTCTACAAGTTCAAGAAGTTGGAAATCATACCAAGCATCATCTCAGATCACAATGGCATTAAACTAGAAATCAATTGCAACAAGAACAAGCAAACACATTTGAAAACATGGAGGCCAAATAGCATGTTATTAAACAATGAATGGGTTACCAAGGGGATCAAAGAAGAAATTAAAAACTTCCTGGAAACCAATGAAAATAAACACACAACACAACAAAATCTATGGGATGC